TCCAGCTACCAAGAATTCCAAACAAGAGGCTGGGATCCAGGCCCTGTTTATGTCATGGCAAGCTCTGTCCCGCCAGAAACTGCCCACCTCTGACCCCCCGGCCCTACCCCCAGGGCTCTGCTACAAGAAACATTGAGCAGGGATGGGTGGACAGGCCTTCCCTGTCTGAGGCTGGAGACAAACTGTTTCTCCAATATTAGCCTGAGCCCCAGACAGGTGAGCCTGGCATGGGAACCTCTTTTCCAGCTCACTGGGGAGCGAGCAGGTTGGAGGTATCCTGCTTCTCAGTGAGCCTGAGTCCCAGCCGCCCCCTCCACAGCCCACCCACCTCCCTGAGCTGCAGTCTGGCCTGTCAGAACAGCCTCCCTCACTCATAAGTAAACACAGTTCAAGGGACAGAGCCTGAACCCCCCCCCTCAGGACAGCTGCCCTGGGCAGGTTGTAAACCAGGCAGGTCTACTATAAATACAAAGTAGGGACCTCCATAAACAGAAAGGGAGGGCGGCCCCAGCAGAGGCTCCTGGTGCAGGGAAAGGAGGCACCATAGGGCCTGAAGTCAGGAGAGATGGGGTGACACAGCAGTGACTGTCCAGGCCATCACCTCACCAACGGTCCATCATCTCACACACGCCAACCCCATGGGGCAGTGACAGAGTCCCAGGAAGTATCTAGGGAGTGACATGAAGAGCCCAGCCTGGCTGCTAATGTCAGGACAGAGGTCCTGGGAGCAGAGAGTGAAAACGAGTGTCTAGCAGGGAGTCCCCAGGCATCATGCTGGAGGGGCAGGTTCTCAACTCCGAGGTGAAAAGTCAGTCTGCCTGGAGAGCCTCCTTCCTCCCTTTGCCCTGTCCACCTAACCTCTCCTCTCTGTATCCTTCATCCTCTCTCATCTGGGGCTGGCATCCAACACATTGGGTTCTAAAAGATTGTTTCATTACTTTAGAGTATGAGTGTTTTTACCTGCATGGATGTCTGTATGCTGCATGCACGCCTGCTGCTCTCAGAAGCCAGAGGAGGGCATTGGATTCCCCGAGACCGGAGTTCTAGAGATGAAGTTACAGAGCGTCGTGAACAACCGTGTGCCGGGAATTGAACCTGGATCGCCTAGAAAACAGCAAGTGTCCTTACCCTCCGAGCTATTGCTTCATCAGAGCATTGTTTTCAGGTCAAAACTTGGAGCCAATACAATCATCCATTTCACTTGTCCATGATCAGTCAGGACCTGTGTATGTGGTCCTACCCCCCCACGTGACCTCAGAAAGCCAAAGGAAAGGGCAAAGGGACCCAAGCAGAGCCCTGTGTCCACGTTCACGCCTGGGTGTGAGGGAGAGAAGAGATGGGGCAATGTGAATCTCCCACATCTCCTAGGCCCGGAGAAGGCACAGAGGCAGGCAGACCTCACAACCATGACCCGATTCTCCACTGCCCCATCCCCCGACTAATTGCTATTCATAGGACACAGCTGGGTGATTAATGGCCTGATTAATAATTACTCAGGCTAATAAAATAATTAATTAATTTGGCAAGCCATTATTTATCAGGCTGTCCTCAACCTGAAACTCAGAAACTAGGAGTTTGGGAATCTCCCCCTCCGGGCTCTTTCAAAAACACAGTCTTTAACAGAGTGGGTGGTGGGTGGGGGTTTCTCGCTCCATCACAAGACTCTTCCCAGGTGGAAGAGGGAAGGACTTTGAGAATACAGACAGAGGATAGAGATGAAACTACAGCAACCCCACGCTGGGGAAAGAGCTGACTTGTAGGTGAGGGACTTCAACAGGGCCAAGAGCCCTGCCTCTGGGCGCCCAGGCTTGGACAGTTCTGTATTCTCCCTAGCACATGACTGATGATACCAGTTTCAACAAATGATCTTTATCTCTCCTTTTGTTTCCCAAATTTATGATTCTGTCCCCAAGCCTCAGCCCACATGAGTGAAGACTTGGTGGGACCCAAGAACTACCAGGGAGACATCTGGACTCTGCAGAGAGCAAGGCCACCGTCCATCTGGAACTGGACTCTGCGGCACCCTCAGATTTGAGTTTCCAGTAAAACCAGAGAAATAGGACTGCCAATATCTTGGGAGGTAAAGATGGAGGCAGAACCTACTTCAGGAGTGACTTGTCCCATTGTCTTATAGGCAGGAAGAGGCCACACTCGAGGCCTAGAGACCACACCTGAGTCATGTGGTCCCCTTGGGTGCTTGAGTGAGAGAGCTTAGGAGGACCCCAGCAATGCTAAGTGTGTAAAAGAACTCCATCTTGTTCTAGATGGAAGCAGGAAAACCAGAATAACAGATCATGCCTAGGGGTAAAAGCCTCAAAAAAAAGGGGGGGGGGATGCTTCTACAATTCGTGTAGCCTAGGGTGGTGGTGCAGCACCAGGGAGCTGGAGGCACAGGATCAGTTCAAAGCCAGACTGGGCTACAAGTTAGAGGCCTCGATGAACCGACTCCATGGGAAGGAAAACCTCCGGAGTGGACCTTTAAAGTGGCCTTTATGGACAGGAATTACTAGTGCAGACTACAAGCCATAGCCAAGGTTGTTGACGAACAGGACAAGTGGGAAAGTGTGCGTGGGAGGCGGCCGAGTGGCCTCAGGCAGGGCCGAGGTGGCCAGAGTGCTGTCGTTTCCTGTGGGCAGTGTGGAGGTGGGAGAGTTGCCCGCCGGTTTGTGGAAGGCATCTCTAGCAAATGGGGAAGAGAGCTGGTCCATTGGACTCCAAGCCTCCACAGTGGACGGGAAGCCTCGGCGTCAGGCTGCCGAGGGTCCCCACTCTCCTGGTCTCCAACGGCTGAAGAACCAGGAGCTCTGTTCTTAAATCTTCCCACACCTCTGATGGATGGAGAGGAGCCAGGCGGCTGACCACCAGGGAGCACCGGCGGCCTGCAGTGGCGCCGGCGTTGCGGCCAGCAGAGGGCGCGCGGGAGACGCGCCGCCAAGAGCAAGGCCTCCCACTCACGGGTGCCCCCTGCCGGACACCTGCGCCCGTGTCACCCGCCTGGAGGGGTCGCGCGAGGAGCTTGGAGACCCTACTACGTGCTTCTGAACTGCGACCACCCAGGGCGCCCAGCGCGGAGCAGGGGCGGGGCGCAGGGCCACCTGGGCGTCCCAGTGGGCGGCCACTGTGTTAGCACCTGGTTTTCTCCCGTGAACTTCCTCCCTCTGCCTCGCCCTTGGCAGTGTTTCCCACCTCTCCTCCCTCCACCAGTTTCCATTATGAGGGGGTTTCAGGTTACAGTCAATCTCATCTTCAGCCCTTCACCCCGAACATCCAGGGCTGACTCAGTTGGGGAGTCTTTGCAACTGCAGCCAAATCTTACAAGCCACACACTGGAGAAAGTGGCTGCCTCGGTTTCCTTCCCACGCTCCCTTTCCCTAGTCACAACTTCATTGCCCTCCTGGAAAAGCCTCCCCTCCCCATCTTGCATTCCGTTCGCCTTTTGTCAACCATGCCACTCAACGCTGCTTCTGATCGCCCCCCACTTCCGTCTAATTTCCTATCTCCTCTGCCTCCTCGGCTGCGCCAACACCCGAGCCCCACGAAGCTGGGCGCGTGGATGGCCCCAGTTTCCCTGTGGCTCCCTCCCGCGTCCTCAGGCTCAGGGAACCCGCTCCTCCCATGACGTGGGTAGGGGAGCTGAAGGTCGTGGGCGGCTGGGCGCAGCCGCGGGGGAGCTGGGAGGGAGGTGCGCCGTGGGCTGCCTGTGCCACGGCGGGCGGCGGGCGGGGGTAGTGGTGCTGCGAGTCCCGCACCCGGTCCGCACCAGCGCAGGGCGAGCGAGTTCCCATTCTTAGCGCAAGGAAGACCCCGTGTGGCCGTTGTGGGAGGTGCAGATCAGGGAGAGCCGCAAGGAGCCAGACTCGATTCGGGGTCCTTTCCCGGGGTACGGACTCATTCTCCGACATCCTCAGCAGGTCAGTGCACCCCGGAAACCTTCAGCCTGTTCACACACACTCAACACACAACCACCTTAACTTGCAGGAGAAATAAAGTAGGAACAGCAAGTGTGATTGTGGTTAGACTTTCAGAAGGACTTCACATAGGGAGGCAGGAGTCTCAATGAAGGAGGGGTGGAGGACAGACCTTCAATCCGGACGTCTCCTGGTCCAGGGAAGAGAGTGGGACTATGAAGGGATTGCTACCGCCTAACCTACCTAGTTTGCCCCACCTGCTTGTACAGGAACAGACTCAGCTAACAGGCGGTGGGGACATTCCTCCATGGCCGGGGCCGGCTCTTTGCCTGAGTGTGTGGGAGCCCAGGTCACTGGGAATGGTCACCCGATAAACAGAACTGGGGCCATGCACCCCACACACACGCCCTAACTTTTCCAAGCAAGAGAGGTGACAACGCCGCTCCATCCCCCATCCTTTGACTCAGCCTTGTCGTCGTGTCATTTGCATACATTTGCATACCCAGCTGCGCACAGCTGCCTTCGGTTGCGGGCCATCAATTCGCGGTAGGCGGGTGGCACGACCGGGCGAATGGGCACCCCCAGGGGCAGGCTCCGTGTGCCCCGACTGCCGCCGCCGCCACCGGCTCGCGCCACCTTCTGGGCATCCGTCTGCCTCACCCAGACACAGGCCGACGACACCCGAGTTTAGATGCCAGACACCACCACTGAGTCTTCCAAGATAGCCTGTGCTTGCTCTGATGGTTATCCTACTGAAATGGGGTGCATGCGTCTAGGGTAGCCCTCAAACTCCAGGGACTGCCCAGAATTTCGAACAAAGATTATGGTGTCTGCTCTGGCTGCCATTCGCCTTCCGCTAGCAGCCCTGTGCGGCTTTGTCACCCACTGTCAAGGGACCGCAGACTCCCTGCACTGCTTGGATTCCTCTCACGCCGCCTGCCTTCCTCAGCTCAGGAGCTGCCGCCCTCTTGTCTCCTGGTCAGAGTTGGTGGTATGGGCCTGTAATCCAAGCTGCTCGCAGATTGAAACAAAAGGCTCACAAATTCAAAGCAAGTCTGGGCAATGGAGAAAGACCCCATTAAAAATAAATTTGTGCTCACCTCAGCAGCACATACACTAAAACTGGAATGACACAGAGAAGATTAGCATGGCCCCTGCACAAAGATGAAATGCAAATTGGTGAATCGTTCCATATTTTTTGAACAAGTGCCAGTGCAGTCAGGAATACACACAGAAACCCTGCCTCGAAAAAAAACTAGTAATAAGCTGGGCGGTGGTGATGCACACCTTTAACTCCAGCACTCCGGAGGCAGAGGCAGGTGGATCTCTGTGAGTTCGAGGCCAACCTGGTCTACAGTGTGAGTTCCAGGGCAGCCTCCAAAACAATACAGAGAAACCCTGTCTTGAAATACCCCCCCAAAAAAGAAAAAAATAATTAAAAAAACTGTCTCAGGCTCAGGTAGCACTTGGGAGACAGAGGCAGGTGGATCTCTGTGAGTTCAAGGTCAGCCTGTTCTACAGAGCAAGCTCCAGGACAGTCAGGGCTACACAGAGAAACCCTGTCTTGAACTCCCTCATCCCCCCAAATTACCTCAGATGTTAGCTGACACCTGTAACCCTAGCACTCCGGAGGCTGAGGCAAGAGGATTATCTTGAGTTTCATTTCAATCTGGGCTACATGGTGAATTCCAGGCCACTCAGAGTTACATAGCAGGGCCCTGTCAGAATAATAATAATTAATAAATTTATTGTTATTGCTGTTTTCTGTTTGTTTGTTTGTTTTCTCTGTATTGCTTTGGAGCCTGGCCTGGAACTCGCTCCATAGACCAGGCTAGTCTCAAACTCACAGATTCGCCTGCCTCTGCCTCCCTGCTGGGATTAAAGCCCAGCTTAAAGCTTATTTTTAAAGGCTGGGGATGTAGTTCAGTGGTAGAGCTCTTACCTAGCATATGCAAAGCACTGGGTTCTCTCTACAGAAGGGATCTCACACCTCAAGATAAAATGAGCTTCCTTTCGCCATCCTCCCTCAGGCAGCAAGGCCTTTTCTCAGGCTCTGCAGAGACATTTAGTCACTTGCACTCCCCAGATTGTGAGCTCTATACAGACAGGAACTGTGTCTGCTCTTTGCTGTGTCCTACTTTGGTTCACAAGTCTGGAGCTCCAGGGACACTCTGAGACAGTGGATGGTGAATTTGCCAGTGAAGCCGAATCCTTTCAGGTACCAATGCTTAGCGCACGCAGACACCCCAAGGTCATCTAGGCAGCCTCAAGGATAACGGGGAAACCCACATAGGAGACCCTCCCTCCTATGAGCCCTGACCTCACTCAGTTCTCCAAGCCACCACTCCACCCCACCCACCCCGTCCCACCCCGCCCCACGCCACTCTGCACCCAAGACTTGAGGTGAGAAACCTGGGCCATGGGAAGCTCCAGACTGGGCCAGGGGCCGTGGTTCCAACTCTGGTGCGGCTGGGCCGCGGAAGCAAAGCCTCTTCCTCTGAAGCTGACCCTGGGCTACTAATGGGAATGACCCTGGTAGACCCCACTCAGCCAGAGAATGCAGTTCTTACTGCATGTGCGAAAGGGAGGGTTCCCAGAATCCAGGTGGGGGTAAAGGCCGTCGCTTGCTCCCGTGCCCGTGGGGAGGAGAACACGTCCCTGACCACCCTGGCATTGGGCTTGAGCTCTGCCAGCATCCAGCCGGGTTGGAACTCCACCGAGGGTCCAGGTGGTGCCTGCTCCCGTACTGAGCTGACCTGCATGCGATTTCCACCGTGGCTGCCAGGGGGCAGCACGAAACCCCAAATCACCTCGTGCTGCCTGACACCACCATTCTCAGGACTGGCAGGCCCAGCTGCTGTGTTCTCCTAGTGGCTCAACCGCTTCTCATAGTGGTCACAGGCCCTAAAATTGTGGCCGGAGGCTATCTCCTCTGGGAAAGGAGCTTCCACGGGGAGTCCTGCCAGAAACAAGCCTGGCTCGGATATAGGTGACCTAGGCGGCTCAGTTTCCTCTGATCTCTGGGCTGAAGTGCCTGCATCACCTGGGAAGGATACGAATGTTCCAGGCTGACAGGAGTAATAAATGAGAAGCATTTGAAATGATGGATATGTTAATTTGATAAAATTATCTCATACTTTATATACTTTGTTACTTTGAACCTTATAAATAATTTATACAAGCTGGGCAGTGGTGGCGCACGCCTTTAATCCCAACACTTGGGAGGCAGAGGCAGTCGAATCTCTGTGAATTCGAGGCCAGCCTGGTCAACAGAGCAAGTTTCAGGACACCCAGGGCTATTACACAGAGAAAAACCTGTCTCGAAAAAACAATAAAAAAATTCTGATTACAATAAAAATAATAAAGCATCCTAGGGAAAATGAAAGCATGAGTCAGTACTTAAACTGAGCCCCCAGGATGGTTGGTGTGATGTCATACAGCCTGTGCAGCAACAAAAGCAACATACTTGTGTTTCGGGGGTGCTAGGGGTAGTGCAGCCTGACCTCATTGTTTAACAATCCTGCCCAGAGCTTAAGCTGTTCAGGGCTTTGGTGCTGACAGAAGAAGTCACCTCTGAGTTTATACTGCCCACCCTCTCCCAACCTACTCACCCTGACATTTTCTGTGCCCTGGGCTCCTCACCTTAATATCCTTCCAGACTGTACTGCCCCTGGAACGCTCTGGCTCGTGCCTGCAGTTTACTGCCTCTGCGTAGCATGGCTAGTTTTATGTGGTGCTGAGGACCAAACCCAGGGCCTTGTACTTGCCAGTATTGTAGCAACTGAGCCGAATCCCAGCTCCCTCTTTCCTCCTTACTCCTACTTCTCCCGGGCCTTCTCAGAGCAGAGGACTTGAGGGCCTACACTAAGGCGCTAAGGTGGGGTTTGTTTAGGGACAGAAGTGCAAGGAGAGGAGCTACGAGAGAAAGCTGTCCTTTTTCCATAATGACAGCTCCTCTTCACTGGGAAAGAAAGCCCTCCTAAGTAGTAACCCGAGCACTGCCCACTCACTTTCATGTTTTGAGCTTTCCAGGCATCTGCTTCCTGCCCATGTCCACTAAAGGCCTCTACTTAGACTAGCTGGAATTTAAAGCAGTCAAGTAAGCAATCCTTCCCTCCAACTCACCCACACCTGGATGCTCCATTTCCTTGCAAGGGACCCAGAGTTGTTGGGAAGAACCTGAAGTGTCACTTGGCCCCCAAGCAAGACCTCTACTAGGGATTTGGTACCCTTCCCTGTGGACACCTGAACTGGCAGGTACTTGCCCCTTCCCTCATCCCCTTTCTGGGATGTCTAAAGCAGGCCTGGAGGTTGAGGGGACCCAGGCTCCCCAATCTCCTCACACTAGGGTATAAGTTAAAGCCATTAGAGATTCACAGGGGCCCCTAAAATTACCTATGTCTTCATCAGGTATCTAGGAAGCTCATGGAGTTGAGAGGGTCCTGTCTCAGAACAGGGCAGGTGCTGAGGGGTTCATCACCCAGAGCTCTTTGTGAATGATGTTCTAGCTCCTGTGTTTGTAGGGAGGGAGGGTAAAGACACAGAAGCCCACGTGTGCACCTAACACAGGCGTCCTCCCCCCTTGAATGTGTTTGGTACTCATACCACATCTGATTTCGCTAAATTTCCCACCCCTGCCTCCCCCCCCCCCGTTTTATTCATCTGCTCATTTTCACAGGGGCAAGTCTGTTTCTCTCTCACTCCTCCTCCCCAGGCTTGTACTTTGGTCCCCAGGCTATGCTGACCCAGCTCTTTAATCCATGCCCCCGACTCACTCCTCTTGCTTGAGGTTTGAGAAGGGGAGGGAGGGGAGGGAATGGGATGCTAGGGACATAGCTCAACTGGTGGTGAACTTGCTTTTGCCAAGCTTGCACAAGGCCCCAACAGCATAAAACCAGGTATGGTGGTGTATACCTAGAATCCCAGCACTTGGGAGAGATCAGACATTCGAGCTCACTCTTGGCTACACAAAGTTTTGAGCCGCCGCCACCACCACCACCACCCCCCCTCCCCTGGGCACCAGGTTTCCAGTTGCCTACATGCTCCCAAGGCTGATGAATGGGACATTTTTATGGATATGGCAAATGGAACAAATGTTTCAGAGAGAAACTAGGCACGGTGGTACATGCCTGTATTCTCAACATTCAGGAGTCTAAGGCCAAAGAATAAGAGGTCAAGGCCACCCTAGGCTACATAGTAAGATCCAGTCTCAAAAAACTTGTTTTTCATAGAGTCCAACAGTTTTATGACTTCCAGTCTTATGGCAACCCCTGACCTGAGATGGCACCGACCCAAAGGTTATGAAATTCTCATAAGTGGCCATTATTGCACTGAAGAGATGCTTCAGTGGTTATGAACCCTTGCTTCTTGTCTTTGTTTTTGCTTTTTTTTTTTTTTCCGAGACAGGGTTTCTCTGTGGCTTTGGAGGCTGTCCTGGAACTAGCTCTGTAGACCAGGCTGGTCTCACTCACACAGATCCACCTGCCTCTGCCTATGCAGTGCTGGGATTAAATGAGTGTGCCACCATTGCCTGGCTTAAAAAATTATTGTAAAGTGGTCATTATTTGGGGTGGGGTGGGACAGTGCTGAAGACAGAACCCAGAGCTGCATGCATGCTTAGGCATATGCGGCTCCATTGAGCTAGTCCTCCAGCCCTGACAGGTCTTTCAAGGTCAAGAATGCCTGCTTTACACACCATTGCTGAATAAGGACAGCTGAAGCAGACACCCTAATTCCCAGGATGCAATTTCCCCTTCATTAGAGTCCAAAGTGGAAGGGAAAAGAAGTGTTCTTCTCCCTTGTATCCCTCTTCCTTAATCCCTTCATTAGCTCTGACATGAAAAGGGAAAAGAACAACCAGGAACCGAGAAAGGGCCATGGCAGGAAAAGGGGCAGGAGAGGGAAGAAAAAAGCCCTTGGAGCAAGCTTGGTTTGCAGCCGGGCTGCAGCTCTGCAGCAGGGCATGGTGCTGCTTTCTCCTAGGGGCTCAAAGCAGGCAGGGCCACTCTCTCCATCTCCAGCTTCCTATACAGGCCCGAAGGAGATAGTGAGGCAGAAGCTAGAGCAGCCAAGCCTAGGTGCCTAGGAGCTGGGCATGGCTGGCTCCCACCATGAATGGCTAGAGACCAGGAAGCTGACGATTAGGGGAGGGGGCGCAGGCTGCCTCGAGAGGTGCTGCGGGTGTGGAAATAGCTGGACAAAGTCCATCCCATTCCTACATGGCAAAGGCAAGGGCTCCTGTTCACCTGCTCCCCTGCTTCCCGGCAGATGTGGCAGAATGTCACAAGCTGCAGCAGCAGCTGCGGCCAATGCTGTGGCTCCCCACACGCTTCCTTCTCCAGAGGCAGCAGCAGCAGGAGGGGAAAAAGGGTGAAGTCATAACCCAAACCTTTCATCTCAGTAGCCCCCATTTAAAATGATCAGCATCTCTTCCTCCCTGGCTCATAACCAAATTATATCAGACAAGACCTTGCCCAGGGAGCTGGCGGCTAGTGGGCAGGCATCTTCTCTAGTCTGCAAGAGGACACTACATTTCACACAGAAAGACTTGCACCTGCTTCCAGAGGCAGCGTGGAGCAGAAACGAGCTCGTAAAGAGTCCCAGATTGTTGCAAGAAAGATGATAATTTGATGGGTTGAAATGAAATATCCAAATTAAGGTCTCTTATGAAATTGGAAGGGTGGAGAAATCAGAAACGAGGGGGAAAAAAAAAGACAAAAGGACCAGACAAATACACACAATAAAAAAGGGGAGAGAGCCTGTACCTGGAAAACAAGATGCTACAGCTGCAGAGGGGAGGAGACAGAAGCAACACGGAGGGCAGGGAGAAGGCTGGTCCCTCAGACAGACTGTCATCCCACCCGACACAGAACAGATGCGCTCATGGTTTGCCCAGTCACACAGTGACTATGCCACATGCCCACGATCAACTGACCCCAGCTTTCAACCAGTCTTCTCCCTTCCAGTCCCCCTGCCCCACACCTCACATAGGCTCTCCCTGTCAAGACTGGCCTGGAACTCAGAGATCTGCCTCTGCTTCTGAGTGCTGGAGTTAAAGGTGTGCCACCATGCCCAGTGAAGGCTTCCTTAAAAAAACCAATCAATCAAACAAACAAAAACCCAACGTACATGGGGAAGTCAGTTTTGTGGAGTTGACTTTCTCCAGATCTCTTCCAGGGATTGAACTCAGGTTGCAAGCTTTGCACAGTGTCACGCATTCCTCTCCCAAGCACACACACAGGTCACTCCAGGCTTAGGCAGTAGCTATGGCATGGCCTCCCCTGTTCAACCATGGTCAGCTCTCACTATCGTGGACACCTGGTTCCAGCTTAAGCTTCCTTCCAAGAACAGGGCGCCTGGGGCTGCTGACTCCAGCAGGCACTTCAGAGCCATGTGCTCCATGAACCCACAGAGCACAGACCCACAGTGAATCTCCACTTTTCCCAGCTGCCAGCGCCCCATCCGTCTCCCCGGCTTACTGACTTCACAGAAAACTGAACGTTTACAAGGGGATGAGTTATGGCAGCAAAAAACTCATTGGAACTGAGTGCCAAGCAGACCCCTTTCCTCACTGAGGGGAGACACAAAACAAGACAGTTGTCCTGGGGTGGGAGTACAGAATCAAACCCTCTCCAACCCTGGAGTTAGTCCTGATCTTGATGGGCTCAAGGCAGACAAACTGCACATGGGGCGAGAGAACTAGAAAGCAAAGGGACCCAGTCCTCAGAAGCAGGAAATAAATAATGTCCAGAAAGGCCTATCTCTGAAGTGGACCAAATGGCTCTCCTATCCCATGTTTATGGGGTCATGGACCATTAAGCCAGCCAACCTACAGATGTCTTCATAAGACTTTTACGAGAATAGACTGCAGAGACCCTATAACTCAGCAACCAGAAAGGAAAACAAGAGGGGATAATTGCAGAGACAAGCTAGTAGGAACCAGGGCTGGGCTTCAGGGTCCGTCCATCTTCACGTTTCTCTGCAAGCCTCTGCCCAGTCCCACCAGGTTCAGGGCCACATCACTTATGTTGCCCAATAAACCCTGGATAACCCACTTTCCCTCCTGCCCCAGTTTCCTACTGTGACCCCATTTCTGGCCCACAGGAGTTAGTCCTTAGGACACAAGTTTCTTTGGCATTTGTGAAGCAAATCAAAGACAAGACAGTAACAGAGTAGCCGTATTGGGTTTGTAAAGTTTAGACAGTGCTCAGGGTGCTTTAGTGAAAAACTGACTCACAGGCCACGCTGGGCTCCTTTACTCTCAACTATCAGGAGTCAGAAGAGCAGGGAAACCAAGAAAACAGATGAACTGACTCAGGTCTGGGTCACAGCAGGGCCAAGGCACTGGCTTACTCTCCAGGGTTGGCGCCACCCAGTGGTTGTTTGTAGAAAGTCAGCGCCAACAAACCCTCAAGGAAAGGTCCCAGACAGTTTTCTCCCTTCTTTTACAAAACTTTAGAAAAAAGGGCAGTACAGATGGGTTAGAGCTCAGCTCAGTGAGTGAATGCTTACTTAGCATACTCAAGGCCCTGCTTTGTGTTTGAGCACTGAAGAAACGGAGAAATGTATGACTATTGGCTAACACTCCAGGACTCAAATTTAAAAGGTGTATAGACCCAGATCTTCAAACCAGCACTCAAGATCCGTATTTGAAAAGCAACCATTTATTAGAACCAATACAAGAGTATGAAAAGGGGGGAAAGAGGGTGGAAGGGGAGAATGATGTCTGAACTGGATGTCAGTTGTAGAAAGACATGTCTATTTTTAAAACATTTACACTTAAATGCAAACATATATATAGAACACTTATCCTTTAAAGAAATCAAAAGCAAATGGAGTTTGGCTGAAATAAAACCAAGAAACGCAACCAACTCCCCCCCACAAACCAAAAAGGTCCACAGAGATTCAATGTCTTACTTCCATTCAGACACCTGGCTACAAGGGATGACCTGCTTCCTACTCAGTATAGCACAATGCTGAGGAAACCCAGCCTCTAAGGTCTCTGAAAGCCTATTCTGTGAGAAGGTGGGAACGTGGTCAGCAGGCAGGGGTAAAGCAACTTCTGGCTACTACTTGGCAGGACATGAGGCGGCTCCTTCCCCATCCTTCAGAACTTCAAAGACAGTCCCCCCCCCCCCAATTAGGAGCAGAGTACACCTAACAGAACTGGAGTGTGGGCCTCCAGGGAGCCAGGACCTTGTGCTTTTTCATGGGTTACCAATCCAGGGTCAAGGAGGGGGAAAGAGGAAGAGTCCTGTCAGGAAGAGCTACGGGCTGCCTTAGCCTCTAAGTGAGATGGAAAGAATAGGCTCTTGAACCTCAGTCAGAAAAGATGTCCTCAGAGTTGGACTGTGAACACTTGGAAAGAGGTGACAGATTCCACACACAGTGAACTGGATGAAGTCTTGAGAACCAAAGCTCAATTTTGAATGTTCCACCTATTTCTGGAAAAAAAATTCAAAGTAGCTCTTTTTTGGTGGCAGATGGAGGTTATTTTGACTGAACCATCTGGTCTCCATGAGAAGCAGAGGCTTAGGAACATGAAGGAGCAGTGACCTCACTGTCCTGGGATCAGTCTGGAAAAGGAAAGCAACAATATAAATCCAAACTACCAAGGTTGCTTTGCTCACCAGTAAGAAGTGGTTATAAATCCACGGGAAGAATCTTAACTTCCAACCTACAAAAAAAGACATGCAGTAACATTCCCGCCTCTTGATCTCCTAACCCAAAATTCTTGAGTTTGAAACAGCCTCTCTGTGAATGCAAGACACAAAACCCCAGTGCCTACCCTACTAACATCCCAAGTTAATCTGAACTATCAAGACTTTCAACATTCACAAACACTGTCAACATGTGAATTAGCAGCTTTAATGAGGGGTGGGGAGCAGAAACTCGCTGAGGTCACTAAGTACTTCCAAACCTGGAAATAGCTCAGTGACAGCTAAAACGTTGATTCAAGGCATCCTCCACAGGCAACCCCAAAGGAGTCATCAGCTCTCATCTGCAATGCCTCACAACACCCCATGAGGTAGGTCAGTGTTATCACCCCACTTGACAGATTGAAAGGAAAGACTTGCCCAAGGTCAGCCTTAATAAAGACCAAGTGGGTTGGCTGGCACGGTCAGTGTCCATTGTAACATTTTACTTTCAGTCACCTCACTCAGCCAGATGAGGGCAACCAAGCAACTGTTAAATGAGGGCTGTTGCTCACCTAGGGCCAACTAGAGGAATCTGGCTTCTGAAGCTCTCCTTAGTGCCATTTTGAAAATTAGGTTGCATTTTAAACACCAACGTTCACTTAGGACCATTGATTTCTCAGGCTTCTACTGAGTAGTCCAGATCCCAAAAATGCAAAAGGCAGCATGGTCCTCTCATGTGGGTCAGGAAGCAGCACTGGAACATGGCGGCAGGGCTGCACCCACAATCGGGAAACAAGTGTCCATGATTCTAATGACTTCCACTGTCTGGCATTCCTCCTGTGACACCCAAAGGAATGCAGCTTTCCCAGGCTACCTCACCTCACCCAAGAGTGGTGGCATCTTCATAAACTTAGGGATACATGGATGGCTCCTCCTGCTGCCAGAGACGTAACTTGTAACGCAGAAAGAAAACCAGAAACAAACCAAGGTGGACAGAAACCAGTTGAGGCCTTACCCACCCCTTAGAACACCAGTGGAAATCATTATGTTCCTATCTTAAAACTATGGGGGAGGAGGGCACTGCTGGAGCTGGTTGAGAATCAAACCCTAATGCTACTAGAAGCTGGAAAACACTGACTTGCATCTTGAGAATGTTGTCACACAAGGAAACTCTCTCTTTAGGAGTTCTCCAAGAATTTCAAAGCAGGACATCTCCTTCCTCCCACAGCCTTTACAGCAGCCAGCAAAGAACTCTACATTCAACAAGAACACACAACAGAAGCCCAGAGCTCACCACAGGCACTCTAAGGCTTTAAGATATATTTCACTGATGGCTGATTACACTGGACGAATCCAGGCAATGAAACCCAAGGGTAGTGTTTCAGCAATGACAGCTCAGGTTCAGTCTGTCTGGAAACTCCCCTAACCAACAAAACACTCTGAGCTAGGAATATAGTTCAGTGGTAGAGCACTTGTCTAGAATATACAAGGACCTTAGTTTACCCCCAGTCCCAACACACACAAGCCTGAATGCACACACCCTCTCATAATCCCAGCGCTCAGGAGGCGGAGGCAGGACAACTATAAGCAGGAGGGCCAGCCTGGGCTACTAAAAAGAAAAAAAAAAGCCTCTTTACAAGTGAAACTATTTGGGCTTAGACCAACTGTTAGGGTCACACTTGCCAATGCCAAGGAACATTACCAAAAAAGGGGATGATAAAAAGTTCATCAAATTCAATTTGGCCTAATTTCTTCATAATAGTTTCCTATTAGATTTTCCGATTAATACTGATGGCTCTTACCTAGGCTGTGATAATTAGGTTTTGATCTATTGTGACATTAATGATCACAATCAGTTGACTTTGAAATTGTCTTTAATTAATGTCTCTTCCCTTGTCAGCTTTCGCCTCCAGTGCAGGATGTGCCCTTCCTCCACCACGGTGTTTTAACTCCTTCTCTCACTGACCTCAGAGGCAAGCAGCATTGGTGGATTACTTCTTCCCATAAAAAAGACTCTAAAACATATTTCTGACAGGAGCAATAGGAGATGATGTTAGGTGAAATGAGGGCCAACAGAAAAGGCAAGAGAATGAGCTGTCAATGAACAGGAATGATACCATCCTAGACCAAAGTCAAGCCTGACGCGCAAGTGGTGACACAAAATTAAGATGAGGTAGATTAAATTCAAAAAAATTCAGCATAAGCAAAGAAACAAGAAACTTCACATTTTAACTTTCTAGAACAGTGAGTTGAATTCCTGGGAATTCTGACTTCCAACGGCAGTCAATTACCCAGGTAGAGCTAAGACCTTTTTCTCCAGTCAGCATGAGAACCTGAATTGGGAGGGGCCTTGTGATACACCTCTCTGGACAGATAAAGTGGGAGGGGCCAGGGCATATATTTCTGGGGAAGATCTTACATAAGTGACACAGGTGCGGCTTAGAATGACTGTCAGTGCTTGATCCAGAGGCAGACATTCCGTAAGCTGTTTTAATAAAGCCTGTCATTAAAACCAGCCTTATGTTGATTTCTCCAAATGGGATGAGAAACTGAAGAGTGTGAACAACCTCCTAAAATAAATGCCCACAAAATAGGAATGTAGAGCAGGACCCACAACAGCACAGCACGCACTGGCATCTGCAATGTAGACAACACTTTCCACAAGCAAAGCGGGCCTACAGTCACAGTTCGGCAGAGCCCAAACAGCTGCACCCTCTTGGTAATGACAGCGTGTCTACTTCTTAGCTTTACTTTCTGCAATGCTCCCTATGGCCAATGAACTCAGTTCTTGGAGACCATAGGTATTTTTCAGATGAAGTAACTAATGGCACCTTCCTACTCCAGGGTTCTTTCCTGTGGGAACCCAGGGCTTCATGGTTGCCTCACAAGCACATTACACTGAACTCCCCACTCAAGACTTTTCTCTGTATACATGTGACTGCTTGTTTGTGTCCCAAACCAGAACTTTAAATGCACATGTAGTATTTATTATACAAAAACTGTAATTTATCAATTCATTCCATGTCATTATCAAAGATCTCTGAGGGGCAAGGGTGTTTGAACTTTGTATCCTGAGTCAAAAATGTTTGTTGAATGAAGCCAATATTGATGTACGCTAATGTTGTAGGAATGTGAACAGCACAATGTGAAGTTGGAAGGTTATCCTGTTCACCTCTGCTTTTATGTAAAGCTGGCAAAATCCTCTTGGTAACATGCCTACTAGAGAGTGAAGCCAGCAAGAAACAGCCAGGACTACCACAGAAGGAAAAAAAAATTCAGCATTAGAAAGATGTCTTGAGCCAGGCTGTGGTGGTGCACGCTTTTAATCTCATCACTAAGGAGGCAGTTTGAGGCTAGCCTGGTCTACAGAGCAAGTTCCAGAACAGCCAGGGCTACACAGAGAAACCCTGTCTTAAAAAACAAAAACAAACAAAACCAACCATCCTACCAAACAAACCAAAACCAAACACAATAGCAACAAAATGATGGTGTTGGGGCATGTCTAAGCTAGCCATACGAAATTAGTTCTGAAAGGATTTAAACCCAGGAAAATGTACTTAGTGTTCAGGAGTGTTTCACCTTTGGCTGCTAACTCTTTATAGGGAAGAAATTTGTAGGAAATTCTTGTGCCGGAGGCCGCCATTCTTTAGCAGAAACAAGCTACTTGGCACTAACACATGCTAGAGGCACACAGGGGTCTGGCTTCTTCACAGTGAGGGCTTTTACACTAAGGGTTGAAGATAATACTGGAATCACAGGTAAACACCATCTGTTGTCTCAGTGATAATGCACAGTAGGCTTCTCAGGGTCACGCCTTCCCTTCACTTTTTTTGCATTACAAGGAATTGAACTCTCACCAAACTATATCCTTAATCCTTTTTACTTTCAGACAGGGCCTCACAAAGTTCCCCAGCAGGTATTTGAACATATAATACTCCGGTATCAGTCTGTGGCTATACTCTGAAGCCAACAGGACTGGCTTCTTAGGGAGCAGTCTTAGTACTAAATATCATTGTTATGCAGTTGCCCACAGGCTAAGATTTTGCTTTAGAAAAGTTTGGTCAACCCAATTTACACGCCCACTACTACTGACTACTCAGGCAGGCTGTCCTTTCTTCCAGTTGTCAATCAAGAGATTTAGATCACCTCAGGAGCTCTGGCTTACTTCTGTCCCATTTTCATCTACCCAAATTACTGGACAATCTGCTTTCTAACCAACCTTCCTTTCCTCAAGCTAAGCACAGACTGTTGTCTTATCCAGCACTTGATCTAACCTCTAACTCCTTCAGAGACCAATGGACTGTGGAGAGAGAAACACCCACTCACCCATGTGAGGTACCGGTTAGGTGCTCTTCCCTGACCACACTTCCATTCCCAGGATCTTCCTGGATGACTTAAAGCAAAGTTTCACTGTCTGTCTGCCCTGTCACTGCAACACCTGTCTTCTCAACTGTGCAGTGTAATGCTGACATAATTTATACACACACACAAAATTCAGTCAGCAGTTGAGCAGGCAAGCAATGCTAACAAATGCTATGAACGGGCCTATGATTTGCATATTATCTGGCTCATCTGTGGACTCTGTGGACTGGAGCACTCAATACACTTGTCTCGTTACTATGAATGGCTGGATGCTCCAGCCCAGACACCTATGTTTTAAGAATCAAAAGCAACAACAGAGAGTTTCAGTAGCTGATGAAGTCTAGCATTAAGGCTACCTCAGCATTTACCCTTTTTTTTACCCAGCTTTGGAGCTGGGACAAGAGTACTTAGCTCCAAACCCTGTTATTTCCTTAGGGTCAGAAAAAATTTTCAATATAAGAACAAAGCAAGAGTAACCCTAAAAGTAAAGTTTGTTGAGAGAGAGGGTCGTATCAAAAAGCTCATGTCAAGACCTGTCACTTTCTGAGACTTCTTTTCTTCCAGGAAAGTACAGTTTTAAAAGTAAGATACAGCTAAAACTCCGAGGGTGGGGAAGGTGAGGAACATTTAATACTATAAGACTTGATGGCAAATCCAGGAGTCCTGAGGCAGTGAAGTTACCATTAGTACTACTGTGAGTATTTAAAAACTGGTCTGTGGCTAGTGGCTGGCTTCTCTCTAAGAATTTCCAACTTCCATTTTCCAATTTCCATTCCCAGAAGGGAATGTGAGTCCACTGAGCGTTGAATCTGCTGATGCCTCTTTGGTAACAGGAATGCTTTGGGAGGGCATAAAAGTTGGCAGGGTTACAGGGTGCCCAGCACCTTGGCACAAGCAAGCACCAGGCAATCAATCACTCACATCTACATAAATATAGTCTAAATATGAGGGGTGAAAGGAAAGAATACATACATGCCACGTGATACAAAGACAATTATGTATGGCCCCATCCTACCATCCCCTGCACTACAGCTTACAGATTCCAAAGTTAATCTTGTCATTTTATGACCGATTGATGCCATCTTACAGAAGCAGAATCAGGGACTGATATTAACAAAGCCAAAAAAGCCAGAGGGATAAACAGGGTGCCTCGACAGATTTAAATATCAAGTTTCAAGCCCACTAAAGGACAGAACTGTTATAGGAAGGTAAATTAGGATAGACAGGGTGGCTCAGAAGACCACACTAGGAATTCTATGTTCTCCTGGCAGAGTTAATGAGACTGAAAAAGATACAAGTAGGCTGCTGCTATTGGTTTTCTAAAAGATGGACAACCTTTCTATGCCAGTATGTCACAACAAAGGCCAGCTGGTCATCAATATATTCTAATAACAATCAAGAAGCCGAAGTCATCATCATTGTAATAAAATCCCCCATCTAAAAAGCAACTGGCCCAAAAAGATCATAATTCTAAGGTGATTAAAAAGTTACAGGGGAGCAGAAGAAAAAGATGAAGGTAAAAGAAAAAACTGGGAATTACACACAGCATGTAAATGCCTGATTTTCACAGAGTTACACTTATGAATCCGACCATCAGTTATATTACAAGAGAACCAATACCATCTTCTCTCCCATGGAGCACAGTGATAAGCACATATTTTATGGATGTGTTTAGGATGGAAAGGGATGGGAGAAGGGAGAGGAGGCAGGTGGGTGAACGTATTATATACAAAGAGAAATGACAGAGACCATCCCCTCCTTTTAGCTCTTCGTGCTTTCTTTCTCTTTGTTTTCCGCATCTTCTGGATACGCATGCCACGTCAGTCTCTCTTCATAAAATGCTATCACAATTTGTGGACATTTCACATTAGCTTCTTTTGCAAGAACCAGGTCGGCTTCATCTGTGTCTTTCCTGGAAACAAAGGACATAAGAAGTGAGGCTGAGAGAAACCTGTCTGAATGTTATCATTTGAAATTAGTTAGATTTCTATCTTTACAGTGGTGGTGCCTCTGAATTTGACCTTTAGCATCAAAAAATAAGAAAGAAAAAGCTGAAGAGATGGCTGTTTTTATAGAGAACCCAGGTTCAGTGCCTAGCACTCAAACGGTGGCTTTAACGGTCTCTCCTAGCTCTAGAGCATCTGACACCCTAGGAGCTACAGTTGGCTCTGCATTTAAGAATGCATACTACTGTTTACTTGAAAGGCAGAGGCAGACTGAATTCGAAGTCAGCCAGGTCTACTGCAGAGGACCCAGGCTCAGTTCCCAATTCCTAGTACCTACATGGCAGTTCACAACTGCCTGTAATGTCAGTTCCAGGAGATCCAATGCCCTTTTCTGGCTTCTGCAGGCACTGTACACACACGGTGCACATACATATATTCAGGCAAAACATACATACACATAAAATGAAACAAACAAACAAAAAACCTTAAAAGTAAAAGGGAAAGAGGGGAAAGGAAGAGGAAAAAAACCCAGTCAGGCATGGTGAGCACACACACATGCCTGTAACCCTGTAACTCCAGCCCTGGGGAGGCAGAGACAAGAGAATGAGTTCAATATCCTGGACTATACACATTGAGGTCAAGGCCAGCTTTGAGCTACATTAGACCCTGTCAGAAAAGGAGGGGAGGATGAGGAAGTACTACACTTCCTTCTGGAAGTCACTATTTCTGATACAGTAATTTATGCTTTATTCAGCTTAATCTTAGTGCCTTTTTGTTGAAATTAATTTCTCTTTTAGACATCTCTCTGATCGTGGCCCTCAGTGACGGAAGAAGCTTCACTCAGTCCTTATCCCATGGTCACAGGCTAACTATATAATATATATATATATATTGGTTTTTAAGACAGGGTTTCTCTGTATTGTTTTGGAACCTGTCCTGGCACTTGCTCTGTAAACCAGGGTGGCCTCAAACTTACGGAGATCCACCTGCCTCTGCCTCCCGAGCGCTGGGATTAAAGGCGTGTGCCACTAACGCCGGGCTACAGGCCAACAATCTTACAGCAAATGATGTAATTTAGTTCTATATAAACAGAAGTTTGGGGAATGGCTACAAATTTTTTACTCCAAATTTATTTTTTCTGACATGCAGGTTATTATGATACAATACTACCAAAGCTTGAGAATGACACAAATCCATTCTGAGCCATAATCTCCACTAAATATTGACACTGGTGTTGGTTAAGAATTAAATTTAGGATTCTCAGTTTTACACCCTTTCTTCATAGCAAAGGAACACAACTGCAAAGTGAGACCCAATTTTTCTCTCACCATTTCATTAAGAACATTAAGTCACCACAGGAATCTGTTGCCCCAATGATCTTTTCTGGTTCCAGTCCTCTCTCAAAGCCCCGAGCGATATCATTGCTCTGCTATAAATAGAACGGGAGAAATTAGAGCTTGCATAAAGAATAAAAACAAAACAAAAAATGGTTTCTTAGAATAAGAAATCATAGCTTTTAACATCACTTGTCACCAATTCAGAAAAATCCTTAGAACTAAAGAAACATTAATACTAGGCCAACCAATAACAGCAATGTCAAGACATATTTTTGCAAAATGTTGTAGCTGTCTTTTCTGGTATTCCTTGCAAAAGATTAAGGAGGGACCCTAGAAATCTTTAGCATCCCGGAGTCTCTAGAGAATCATCTGGTTATTCCTGAAGTCCTAACCCTTAGGATCTCTTCAGAAACTGTAAGCTGACCCCTTTACTCTTGTTCCTGAGACACCAAACAAGCCCCTTCTCTTAACTTCAGATATGCTTCTACAACCATAACCTTTCAGATGTTTAATAATCTAACAGTAACCAATAGTTAATATTTCACACAATCATCTGTATTGTAAAAAACAGAGGCAAGAATACTCTAAAAAAGGCAAATTTCAAAGACCACAAACACTAGTTTGTATATATTTAGGAGAAGAGCCCCTAGCCTGCTCACCACCTTGCAGCACAGGCACACTCTGAGCATTAACTGGGACTGGATTGATAACTCATGAGAAGAGATGGCTGTGGCTGAAGAGATGGCTCTTCTAGAAGACCTGGGTTCAATTCCTAGCAACCACAAGGCAGTTCACAAGTGTCTTAACTCCAGTTCTAGGGAATCTGGCACCCTCACACAGACAAACATGCAGGCAAACACCATTGCACATAATCATGTGATCTATACACAGGCTGATTTAGATGTAATGGCACTGGTCATAACAAAAAATAAGTAAAATTCAACTTTATACATATCATAATTGTCCTAAAATTCACAAGAGAGAATGAAAACTCATTCATTAGCAACACAAACAAAAACTTAAGTGGGGCGCGTTGGTGGTACACGCCTTTAATCCCAGCATTCAGGAGGCCAAGGCCAACCTGGTCTACAGAGTGAGTTCCAGGACAGCCTCCAAAAGAATACAGAGAAACCCTGTCTCAAAAAACCAAAAAAATAAAACTTAAGGATTTTCCAAATGAACCAAATCTTAGATGTGTGATTTTCCTTGTCACGTCTGTAGCGTGGCCTGTGTCCGAGAACGTTTGGAGGGTGTCAGGGATTGACAACACAGAGACTCGTTTAACGATATAAAGAGAACTTTAAACAGGCTCCAAAAAGGTTCAAGAAAACCTCCTAAGAAAAGCTCCCACCAGAGAAGCTTCTGCTCTCTCCTCTCCCCTGGCTGGTTCTGCTCTGCCCCAGAGGTGGATGTGTGTGGGTTTTTAAGGTGCGATTAGTCTTTGGACAAGGTCGAGGTCAGGGCGGTTTCCGTGGGAAGGCCTTTCCCAGGAACTTATTGTATCATTTTTAGTAAACATGTTTTTACTAAACATTGTCTTACAGCTGCCTACTCCCAGGCAGAAGGGAAAGTGGCCAGAAACTTATTATATCGTTTTTAGTAAACATGTTTTTACTAAACATTGTCTTACAGCTGCCTACTCCCAGACAAAAGGGAAAGTGGGTCTCTACTCAAGGTCTGGTGTTCCCACATTCCTAACATCGCTCTGTCTGATCATCTTACTTTCCTTTGAGATAGAAAAGCAGGGCCAGTGAGGTGGCTCATTGGGAAAGGGGCTTGCAGGCAAGTTGGACAACCTGAGTTTAATCCCTGAGACTCAGATGGTGGATGGAGAAGAGTACCAATACCCACATGTTCCTTTACCTACACTAGTGCATGATATCCCCCAACATAATGAACAAATAAATGAATAAATGACAATTTTAACATAGAAACACAAAAGCTGACACAGTCCTGGTAGTCCCTAAGATACCAGAACCCACAATAGGAAACAAACTCCAGCCATAGATCAGTAGGAAGATACTGGCTTTTTAAGACACAGACTCTTTGGGGCATTTAAGGGGAATAGGTTCCCAGATGCAAACACAGCTGCTCACAGCTGGAATGCTGGCACAGGGACCAAGTCATACATCATCGCTGGCGGCTGAAAACAGTCTGCTACAGAGGGAATGAAATGGAAAAAGAATGTTCAAGCTGCTAAAAGGAGCCGAGGCAAGGAAAACACTGAAATCATCACAGGCAGTAATCTTAAATCAGGCATAAAACCGACTAAGAAATTTCTTCTGCAGCGGTCTAAAGAAAAGTAATCTCTGCCATACCTTAAAAACATACCATCACTACCTATCACGCCAGCTGTCTACCTGACAGCTGCCAGTATTACTGAGAATGCTATCAGGGGTCCCAGAAAAACATGATGATGTAAAGGGTGGGAGGAGGTTGTTTTCAAGGTCAGCAGCTCCAGAACCTAGAAATGAAGCCCTCTGAATTAGCAGCCAAGGACTCCAAGACAGATTACTACCTTTAACAGAACAAAGATCCTAAGTTGAAGAACTGTTTACTATCTCCCACAAATACATAGTCAAGTCTTTGGTTGTGTTATTTTGCTATTTCAACTTAACTAGAAAAAGAATCAAATGACAAAACCCAGACTAGGAAGAAGGGAGGGAGGGAAGCACTGGCTTAGTTAGCAAAGGTGCATGCTCCAAGCCTCTCAAGTTCATAGTGCAGTCCCCAAGACCAACCTGGTGAAAGATAAGTGACTTTTCCAGGTTGTTCTCTACCATGTCTCAATACCCACCCCCAAAAGTTAAAAAGGGTATAAGGAAATCTATGCAAAGGCAGACAGAGACTATGAGGCCAGCATAGCTTACAGTTTCAGGACAGTCAAGACAGTCATAAATAAACAAATTAACAAGTCCTATTTCCTCAGAAAATGGTTTCTCTGTGTAGCTTTGGAGTCTATCCTGGCACTGCTTTCTGTAGCCCAGGCTGGCCTCACTCACAGAGATCCGCCTGCCCCTGCTTCCTGAGTGCTGGGATTAAAGGCGTATGCCACCACCGCCTGGAGTTCCTTAAATTGTTAATCAGTATAGTTTATCAAGATATCCAGACTGCTTGAGAGCCTTTATCACTCATTACAGAAGTAGTGACACCAGCCAGGAACAGCCTCTAGTCTCACAGGCCAAGAATTATATACAAGTAAAACCCCAATGCCTCAGTCCACCCACAGAAACTCTCAATTAACTGCCATAAGATTCATCTTGGATACTGAAGATATTTTTAAATACCCAATGGGTGGTTCTAAGGTGTAGTCAGAGTTATGAGTAACACTGTAGAAAAATGGGCATCCAAGTATAATGCAGATAAACAGGGAATTGATCTAAGGATGCTATATAGATTTATATTCCTATTTTATTAAATTTAAAGTATGATATATTCTTCATAACCTTGTTTGTGTAACATGCACATAGTAAAGACACAGAAGAACTCAGGTCGTCAGGCCTGGACCAGGCACCTCTTCTAACCCTGAGCCACCTCCTTAGCTACTTTTCTTTAAAAAGAAAGTCTTCCTCTTGGTGCTACAATTGGTTCAGTGGCTAAGAGCTTGCTGCTCTTCTAGAGGACCGAAACTGGGTTCCCAACACTGTGGCCTCCTCAGCACACACACAGACAGACAGATACACCCACACTTCTATTCAGGGAGAGGGGGAAGAGGCGGGCAGTTTTACATCAATTTTGACACTTTAGAGTCAGCGGTACACCAGCTCTCCCTCGGCCAGAAGGGGTCACTGTAATCAACATACTTCCTGGAAGCTTTTTGTTCAAAAACTATAGCTTGTAGGCCCGTCCTTGGACAAGAAATTACCAAACTCCCCCTTGCGTAACAGGAGCAACAGGATAGTAGTGGAAGGAGAGAAGCTTACCTCTCTCTTTTTTTTAGACTTTATATCATCAGCACTATTAGAGAAACTGGATTTCCTCTTGTTTCCTTCTGACTTCTCCCTGGGCTTGTTGTTTTCACCCTCCTTCATCTTCTTATACTTTTTCATAAACTCAGAAATTAGTTCAGGACAATCCAAGTTCTTCTCAGGTTCCCAAGTATTGTGCTCCCTGAACAACAATAAAGACAAAAGGAAAAGAGTGAGGGATGGTGATAACACCCTATTTTCATCCATTTACCATCTCTGCAGAACTCAAGACTGACAAGTGCTAGCAAGCTACATCGTCAGCCCTTTTCAGTGCCAACACTTATTTTAAAGAGGACATGTAAGCCAAGGAAAGGAATTCTATGTTTAAACACTTAATAAGAGAGAGGCAGGAGGATCTCTGAGAGTTAAAGCCTAGCATGGTCTACAGATTGAGTTCCACGACAGGCTCCAAAGTTCCAGAGAAACCCTGTCTCAAAAACAACAAAAAACACCTAGACTTAACAAGAGGCTTTCGGTATAGTTTTGTGGTAAGGTATTTGCCTAGCACATGACCCCCAGCTTTGCAGAGGAAAAAAAAAAGATCCAAATCTGATCTTAGGTTTCATCGAAGTTTAGGAAAAAATATATTCAAAGTCATGTAAAGAATTATTATAGAAAAAAAGGAAAAAAACTATTATAGCTGCTGGGGTTGGTGGCATACACCTTTAATCCCAGCACCTGGGAGGCTCAGACAGGCAGATTCCTAAATTCAAGGCCAGTCTGGTCTACAGGGTAAGTTCTAGGACAGCCAGGGCTACACAGAGAAACTTTGTCTCCGGGTAGGAGTGGGAAGATTTCAGTTATTAAAGCAGTAATACTTTATTTTGCGGACTGAGGATTAAACCCCAGGCCAGGATTTTATGTCCGGAACCGCCAGAACTACACCCTTAGCCCTATAGCAACATTTTAATAGCCAAACCAAAAAATAAACTTGAATGCTCATCAACTGATGAATGGATAAACAAAATGTGGTACAACTGTATTCACCAGCAAAAAACAACCTAAGAAAATATCAAAAATCACACACTAGTTAAAAAAAGGAGGCAAGAAAAGATGTGTTCTTTCTTTGGTTTTGTTTTTTGTTTGTCTGTTTATCTGTTATTCAAGACAGGGTTCCTCTGTAGATCTGGAGCCTTTTCAGGAACTCATCTGTACACCAGGCTGGCCTCCAACCCAGAGATCCTCCTATCTCTGCTTCCCAAGTGTTGGGACTAAAAGTGTGTACCACCACAGCCCAATTTAAAATATGCTTCCTTTCAGATTTTCTGATGTCCTGACAAGATACATTTTAGGGACATGAGGTAGATTACAATGAGGAAATATTCTGAAATGGGAGCATGGTAAGTTTCACAAACCTAAAAATACTGATCACAAGACAACAAACAAACAAACAAAAACAACTGGGCCAGGTATGGTGGTGAACACTTTTAATCCCAACACCCAGGAGTTCAAGGCCAGGGCTACATAGAGAAACCCTATCTCAGAAAAACCAAACAAAAGACCTTGTCCCAAAGACAAAAGAAAAACATCAAACTGTACAATTTCAGTGGGTAACTTTTTTTTGGGCTGTTAGTGGAACTCTGTAGACCAAGCTGGCCTCAAAACTCAGAAAGCTGCCTGACTCTGCCTCCTGAGTGCTGGAACTAAATGCATGCACCACCACCACCAGGGGTTGGGTGACTCTTAGGGTACATAAACTATATAGTTTTGACCTGCTCCATTTCTGACCTGGGCAGGTTCCACCCCTCCTTAGGGAACCTGGCGTGGCTCACCGCCCCCCCCAGAGGTCACCATATTGATGCTGAATTTAGTGCGGACACCGGATCCGAATAGCTGCACTACAGTCTTGAACTCCTAGACTCAAGCAATCCTCCTGTCTCAGCCTCCCGAATAGCTGGGACTACAGGTGTGCACCACTGAGCCCGGCCATAAACTATATAGTAATAAACTTTTTTTAAAAACTCCTAATTTTGGCTGGGCATTGGTGCTGCATGGCTTTAATCCCAGTACTGGGGAGGCAGAAGCAGGCGGTTTTCTGTCAGTTCGAGGCCAGCCTGGTTTATAGAGTGAGTTCCAGGACTGACTCCATAACTACTGAGAACCCCCCCCCAATAAAAAACCTCCCAATTCTGGGCTGGAGAGATGGCTCACTGGTTAAGAGGACTTGTTCCTCTTACAAAGACCTGAACATCTGTAACTCCAGGTCTAGGGAATTCAATGCCTTCTGTCCTTTACAGGCACGAGCATAGCATTCACATACCTCACAGACAGATAGGCAGATACACATAGACAATTTAAAAAAAAATCCTTAAAAACAACAAAAACAAACCCAGTCTAGAAGATGGGCATATACTTCATTGGTAAGCATGCTTGTTCAGTCATAAGCCAGGTTCCATGAGTTCAATCCCTTGCAATTCCCCATCAATAAAAGCCCAATTTTAACTGCTAAATTGCCAAGAGTATGATCTTATACATGCAACCAGTTGCCTGAACAAAAAGGATAACTTAATAAATCACAAACCTCCAATTTCTATTGTGTTAGATGCTATTTGTAAACTCTAGTAAATAGGAGTTGGAATGCATTAATTCAAATGAGACAGACTCAAGTCTACTGTCACCAAGTTTTTTTGTGTGTATACATATACAGACATACAAAATTTGAACTAGCAGGGAAGTGGTGGCGCACACCTTTGATCCCAGCACTCAGAGGCAGAGCCAGGTGTATTTCTGAGTTCAAGCCCAGCCTGGTCTACAGAGCACGTTCCAAGACAGCCAGCTATACACAGAAATACCCTGTCTCAAGAAAGCAAAACAAAAAACTGAAATAATATTGATTGCACAAAACAGGAATCACTATGATATAGAAAAGAAGTTATTTGAGGGGAACAAGGTCTCATGTATGTAACATGAATAATATAAGATCCAGAGTCGCTGGGCGTTGGTAGCGCACGCCTTTAATCCCAGCACTCGGGAGGCAGAGGCAGGCGGTCTATAGAGTGAGTTCCAGGACAGCCTCCAAAGCCACAGAGAAACCCTGTCTCGAAAAACCAAAAAAAAAAAAAAAAGATCCAGAGTCATATTGGGGTTCAAGCTTCAAGTTGAAGATTAGAGAAGCAAAGCAGTCAGCCACTAGTCTAGCTCTTACCTCTACCTCAGGCTGAAAGGCTGTCCCGTCTCCACAAATCGTCAGAGGAAATGCTCTCAGTTCTGTCTCCTCTTCCTTATATTCCTTTCTCTGCCCAGCCATATCACTCCTGTCTCCACCTCCCTACTGCAGGTATTAAAGGTGTGTGATCCCAAGTGCTGAGATCAAAGGTGTGAGCTCTGTTACTCTTCACTCTTGTGTAGGCCAGGGTGGCCTTGAACTCAGAGAGATCCATTTGCCCATCTCCTGTGTCCTGGGATTAAAGGTGTTTATCACCACTGCCTGACCTCCATGGCTTGCAGGCAGCTTTGCTTTCTTTCTGAACCCTCAGGCAAGCTTTAATAAATCGCCACACGTGTAGCCCAGGCTGGCCTCAAACGCTCTATGTAGTCCTGGATAACTTTGAACTTCTCATTCTCAGACTTTTCTTTCCCTCTCCCCCTCCCTCTCTCTCTCTCCTGAATACTGGGTTCACAGGCATGTGGTACCACACCTCCTTTATATGGTAGTGGGGGCCCAACCCAGTGCTCTGTGTATCTTATGCAAGCATTCCTCTAAGATATTCCCAGCCTTCTCTGTGGGTTTCTTTTTTTTCCAAGGTAGGGTTTCTCTGTGGCTTTGGAGGCTGTCCTGGAACTAGTTCTTGTAGATCAGGCTGGCCTCGAACTCACAGAGATCTGCCTGCCTCTGCCTCCTGAGTGCTGGGATTAAAGGCGTGCACCACCACCGCCCGTGTGGGTTTCTATTTACTTTATTTTTGTGTTTTTCATTTGATCCAGGGTCTCTGGCTCACCAGGATGACCTCAAAGATTCTAATGTCCCTGCCTTTCAGAGTGCTGAGATTCATGGTGTGCAGCACCACACCCAGATAACCTCTGAATTTTTAATGACAGTCTTACTATATAGCCCAAGATAACAAGTTTCTTACCTCAGCCTTCCAAATACATAGGTTACAGGAATGAACCAACATGTCTGTTTCAATCTGATATTCTCAAAGTTGTCCTCTATATTTTGTATTCATAACATGGGTTCTAGAATTACAACAGTCTTGTGGAATTAAAGCAAGAAATGAACCTACAAAGAAAAAACTATCATCCCTTTCCTTATCCAGAAGCATAGTTCTTCTGTTAGACAAGAAATACTAGGTTTTTACAAGACAGGGTTTCTCTGTATTGTTTTGGAGGCTATCGGTCCAGTCCGGCCTCCAACTCACAGAGATCCGCCTACCTCTGCCTCCCGAGTTCTGGGATTAAAGGCGTGCGCCACCACCACCCGGCTTAGGTTGTTTTTATATAAAATACACCTATTACCTGTAATGAATCACAGAAGCAAAAAAAAAAAAGTCAATAAACGACAAAAGTAGCATCTATGATCTGTAGTGAGCTTGAGGGAAGTTGTTGAAATTAAATCTAGGGTTTTATGGCTGGGCAGTGCTGGTCTGTGATGTTTCTAAAGGAAACAAAGACTCTACTGGGGCTGTTTGTGTGACATTTTAGATTAAGAATCTATAGAAGTGGCTGGGTGGTGGTGGTGGTGGTGGTGGTGGTGTATGCCTTTAATCCAAGCACTTGGGAGGCAGAGGCAGGTAGATCTCTGAGTTCCAGGACAAACACGGCTACACAGAGAAACCCTGTCTTAGAAAAAAAACAAAACAAAAAGATCTGTGGAAGTGAAACCTTCTACTGGTCAGCCTTCTAGGGAACATACAGCAGTTACGACATAGTGAGCAGGGGTCCAAGGCTGCACATCAAGCTGGCAGAACTTGGCAATATGGAAGTCTCCCACACTGTTCTGGTTTTGAAGGCACAACAGATCTCTCCTGAAGATCGGCTGAGACTTGGTACCAAGAGACAGGGATAGTCCCTGAAGAGAATCCATCTATGAAGGTGCAGCCTCAGTTGCAGTAGCAACCCAAGGATATGATACTGGAGATGCAAGAACAATGGCATATGAGGGTCAGAGCTGGCCTGAACCTAGAAGACAAGTGTTGAGTGTGG